AATGAAAAAAACAGTTCAATGTTTCCAAGGGACATTGGACTACAGATCTAGAAATCCATATTATAGTTCTACAGCACAGTCTACTGGCCACAAGTAGTAACACAAGTTCACGAGATAAGTTATACTGAACTCAAAAGTGTACTATATAAAAAGGATGAAAAATAACAGGATTTAAACAAATAGCTTAGTGCACACATCTGCACTTTGTTTTAGAGCATCCTCACAAAGGAATAGCCATGAATAGCCACACCTGGGGCTGTAAGCCTGGCAGAACAGGAGGCAGGGTCTTACCAATGATAGAGTTTAGGTACTGTTAGCTGAGGATGGCTTAAATAAGTCAATATGCACCACCATCCCAAGAAATATATTGTTTTAGAAAGAAAAAAAGACAAAAAGCATTGGGACTTTTCAGGTGCTACTTACAGTCATAACACATAAAACATGGTTTATTAAAATTATACCTTTTAACAATTAACATAATTTTGAGATCATTTTCTAGAGATACGTGTATGTCAAGTTAGGGCTAAATGTGTTAATAAGGGTTAAAAGTTAGGGTTGGGTTAGGTCAAGTTAAATGTCAGTGGGCAAAGTTAAGTGTAACGGATTAATTTTAAGGCAAAGCATAGGGGTTTAGTGTTAAATTGAGGTTTACAGAAATGCTACAATTTTGACTATTTTTGGGTAGATTCTAATTGCCAAAACAAGTAAATGGGTCAAAGCACCAGCCAACCAGTGCTCTATCTGGAATAGTGGCAGTCAAACTCCAGAGCACAGGGCACTAGGTGAAGGGGCACAACTGAACCAAAAGTTAAATTGGGACTATCTTTTCCTTCCCTTCCCCCCACCTTCTGTCCAGCTCTGGACATTGGTGGCTAAATTCAGCAAGAAAACCAATGGGGTAAAAGGCTCCATGGGATAATAAAAAAGGAGTCAAAGTTTGGGTTTAGTTCACTGTTACTTTAAAAAAAAAAAAAAAAAAAAAAAAAAAAAGACAATTGAAATGTTTGGCTACTGAAAAAGAAGACACTGAATATTATACATCTCTGGCAAATCTACACTCTGCTGTTGTTCAGCAGTAATTTTCAGCATTCAACACTTATGGGAGTGTCAAACACCTGTGTCTCCTCTCCTGTGCTCAATGGTTCCTCCAACCGGCCCTCTCAACCCTCCTGAGTTCTGTTGTTGCACAGGGACCAACAGAAGGAACCACAGTGCACAATAAGGGACGCAGTATTAAACACTATGACTTTGCTGAAGGCTGAATTGTTAGATGGCAGCAGAGTTTGGACATTCAGCCACCAGGCACTCAGTGTCTTCTACTACAGGAGCCAAGCTTTGAATGTTTTCTTCAGAAAGTGACAGTCTCTGTAAACCTTTTCTCTCGTTTGTTAGTCCGCAGGGCTGAGAAGTAGTTCTGCATATAATGCTGACCAGATGCTGCCTGCAAAAGTGCACTCTAGCAGTAAAATGTACTATAATAAACCCAGGACACAAGAAGAAGAGCTTGTAGAAAAGGTCGTCATTATTCCAGTCTACCTAAGGCAGCCTGAACAAAATATTGCCCCAGTATTGACAATTTTGTCTGAAATATGGTTTTGATGGAAATTCTTGTTGGAAGGGAGCATTGATCCATTTGGTAGTTTTTGCAATTGAAAACTGGTTAAAATTTGCTGTGTGTATGGCAGCCAGTATAAGACAGGTTTTGGGTAAGAGACATGAGAGCTCTTTAAATGACTCCCCCAAACTTCACTTTTATATTAGACACAGCAAAGCTGCCCTTCTGGGGTCAGACATTGATCTGATTACCCCAATATCATCGGTAAAGCGTCAAATGTCAGTTATAGCACTATAGGAGAAATAAGCACACTTACCACATCACGGAACACTACAGCTCTGAGGCGATTAATATCGACATCTTGGAGTAGCCGATCGGGGTCCTTGATTGGTGAAAGATTACCAGAAACATTGTCCACAGGGGTCTACAGATATATAAATATTATTATTATAGTAATTTTCAAAACAAATAAGGACAGAGTGTTACAAAACTACAGTAAATATATTAAAACCATTGAGGACAAATTCAGACCAGGAATTTGGAAAGGTCATTTAATGAACAAAAGGCAAATTGCCAATATCAGGGATATATATTTTTATTGTTATGAAGTACGTTGTACAATGTTGGATACAGGGGCGGACTGACAACTCATGGGGCCCCAGGGCAATAGGGGATCATGGGCCCCTGTGTCTTTGCCCACACTCAAATCACACCCAAAAAAGCCTATGAAAAGTACCAGGGACATCTCATGGGGCCCCCTACTGACCCCGGGCCCTTGGGCAGAGCCCGAGTTCCCCAATGGTCAGTCCGCCCCTGGTTGGATACTTTATCCATACCATCTTAGACATCCTAAAACAGTAGACCCCAAAAAAACAGAAATACTCCTGTTTAGCAAAGATGAAATTTAAAAAACAGCTCCATGGAATGAGAAATGTTAGAATTTCTATCAAGTTATTATACCTGTTTCTGGCCTCATTAGACAGATTTCAGTATTAGGAATTGGAAGTAAAAGAGTCAGGATAAGCAAGAAAATAGGATTTTTTTTACTCACTGCAAAATCCTTTCTTGGAGTCCACTGAGGGACACAAGTATTTAAATTGGTTTAAAAGTCTTAAAGAGAAAAGGGGGAGGGACCAAGCCACCTGTTCTGAGTCAATGGAGTGCAGCTTTCCATGGGGGAACCTGCCAAAGAGGAGGAGCCTGGAGAACCGGTGGATGACCATAGAAGAGGAGGACCATAGAAGTGGAGGACCAGAGGTGACCAAAATGGTGGGCAGCAGGAACAGATCAAAGTTCTACATGGCTCTTTGCAAGCAGGAGGGGCCATAAGAAGAAATTTCTTCAACACTGTACGGCGGGAAAGAGCTTGGAGCATGCCTGCACAACATTCCACCCAGCAAATTGTGTCAGTGCATGGTTTCATAGCATTAACCACTTCTGAGGCAAAACCAGTGGGAACAAGAAATAGGCACCCAACAACCTATGTAAATGAGTTAGCATGCCCGTCTGGCTTGCTCACTGAGTCCCCAGAGACAAGGCTAACATTGAGGCAATTTCACTGACTATTGACCTAGAAAGTGCTCTACAGCAAACTTTGAAAAATGTTGAAACCCAGGTCCCCACTTTCTGGCTAACCCCGCTACATCCAGTCCAGTGGTCCAGATATAGAACGAAAAAAGCAAGGCTGAGGACCACTGTGCCGAATACCTGCGATTGGAGAGAGAAAACTCCAGCAGTGATGAAGAAAAGAGTCTTGTGTGTATAAAAAAAAAATTACAGTAAAAAGAACTAGCATGCTAGCAGAGCTAAAGAGAAAGACATCCATCCTAGGATGCTAGCAAAAACCAGAGACATGCTGTTAACGTAGTAAAAGGGGTTTTCGTGGGCTGGTCTACAGTTTTACATTGTTGGCTATTGTCCAATCTTCCTGTAGGTATCAGTATAACTCAAAAGTTAAAGGCTTCCTGTTTTCCATTTCTACTGAGAAGTAGAAAATTGTCCTTTTCTATGCCACAAGTGCCTCCAAACATGGGTACATGCTGTATGCTTTATTTCAGTTTTCAAAGTGCATGGTTCTTTGGGACCAGCCCAGAGGAATGCAGGGGGAGAGGTGCATGGACAGTGCTCTGAAATCTTTCAAGTCAAGTAAAGCATAATCCACACAGCCAGACTTAGCAGCTGGATAGGTATACTTAAAGCAAATATGGTATGTACAGGCACCTTACAGCTGTTGTGCCAATGTATCATACCTGAAAGGGTGAGGGGTTCACTTGAAGGTACAGTTCCTTCACTGGAGTACAGGGGAGTGCAAACCCATGTCACCAGTACCTCAGCATCTGTTTACATGACTGATAGACAAGAATTATCAGAGGTAGTTCCATTCCTTTGTAACAGATTTCTGCAAATACTTAGTGTGGCAGGTCAGTTAGGTTAGAAGGAGGTCTTTAAACAAGCAAATGTTCACTTTAACACTTTCTTTAGTGTGCACACATTTACATTTTAATTCAATATTTTCCTTTTAATATATTTGTTTCTAATGTTTAATTTCAAAATACTTTCATATTCAGTGTTGCTGCTAAAGAAATGGACAACAAATAGCTAAAGATTTGATCATATGTGTTGCCCTACGCTTAGGCTACACTAGTTCTATTAACACCCACACCTTCTGTATAACACATCTTCCAAGAGCAGGGGAGCAAGGGCTTAGGAACATTTCATTTAATGGTATTTATTTACAAGGTATTGTTCAGTTTGCACAAGGCCAATAAGAGCCATCTGAGGGAATGGAATGTACTCTTTTACTCGCAAGGGACCGAACAGTAATATAATGGCTTCTCAATGATAATTGGCCATCCGCCTCTTCCCAGCTTGGCTTTTAATCACTTAGAGTATGTTTCTGATTTAAAAAAAAAATCAGGTCACTGCAGTAGTATTTTTCTAAGATTTAATTTCATCCTTTACCAGTGTCTAAAGCTTTATACTACAAATTCAATAAGTCCCACTAGTATCCAACTTAATTCAGTTTGTTTAACCTTTGACAATACACCTTCCTCCAAGTGCGCTGCAGATAGTCTGGAGAAGTCCTGATCAGATAGATATATTTCCTGTCTTGCCTTGAGCCATGTTACATGATCTACACATCGCTGTCTCAGAGGACACTGCCTGCAGAGGAGAGGCTGCCTGTCACCACTGTGCGGCCAGCACTCGCATGTTGTATAGAGTATCACGTGAGTATCTGCTATGCAATAAAGTTCTCTCTTATGATCACCATCTCGTGTGTTCATTGCATACATTTATAAGCATTTGTGTTTATTCTTTGTGTGTCTAAAGAAAAGTTCATTAACCACCTCCCGCCCACCATATAGTAATAGTAAGGTGGTTCTCTCATTCTGGGAGGATGTCACCGCGCATGCGCGGCTCAGGGAGCGCGCAGCGTGGCGATCGATCACGAGGGACACAGCGGATCATCGATCACGGAAAGAGCCGAAGATGTCGGCTCGGTCATGTGATCAGCCGTGTACAATCACAGCTGATCACATGTAAACAGGGAAATGCCAGTTATCGGCATTTCTCTCCTCTCAAGCTGTCACATTGACAGCTCGAGAGGAGAGGAGAGCCGGTAATCGGCTTTCCGTGGAGGGGGCATGTACATTGATCATCAGGGCACTGATGATCAGTGTGCCCTGATGATCAGTGTAGCCCCAGCAGCACCCACCTGTCAGTGCCTTGTGCCATCAGTGCCTTGTGTCAGTGCTCATCAGTGCCTCGTGCCAGTGCCCATCAGTGCCACACATCAGTGCCTACCAGTGCCGATCTGAGCTGCCTTTCAGTGTCACCCATCAATGCCAATCAGTGCCACCTATCAGTGCTGCCAATCAGTGCCACCTATCAGTGCCAGTCAGTGCCGCCTATCAGTGCCAGTCAGTGCTGCATATCAGTGCGCATCAGTGCTGCATATCAGTGCGCATCAGTGCCGCCTATCAGTGCCAGTTAGTGGCGCATATCAGTGCCAGTCAGTGCCGCCTATCAGTGCCATGTATCAGTGCTGCCTTTCAGTGCCCATCAGTGATGCCTGTCAATGCCCATCAGTGCCACCTACCAGTGCCTCATCAGTGCCACCTATCAGTGTCCATCAGTGCAGCCTATCAGTGCCCACCACTGCAGCCTCCTTAGCGCATATCAGAGAAGGAGAAAAATCACTTATTTACAAAATTTTATAACAAAAAGAAAAAATGTTTTGTTTTTTCAAAATTTTCAGTGGTTTTTGGTCTGTTTAAGAAAAAATAAAAAACCCAGAGGTGATTAAATACCACCAAAATAAAGCTCTGTCACAAAAAAAATGATAAAAATTTGGGTACAATGTTGTATGACCGTGCAATTTTCATTCACAGTGCGACAGCGCTGAAAGCTGGGAATTGGCCTGGGCATGAATGGTGTATAAGTGCTCTGTAGGCTAGCGGTTAAAAAAAAGGTCTTGCTGATTCTCACCCCTTGGTACTATAAACTAAAGAAGCCCTGTGCTACCACGGTCTACAGTTACAAGTTTAGGGAGACCGGAATCAGAATCATCTAGGGTATAGGACAAGCTTCTTAGATCTGAAAGTGTTTTCATTCTTGGTTGCAAAACATCAAGAACTGTATTTGGAGGATAGGTGCACCTATTTCTTACTGGGAATTAAATAGGCAAACTAGATTCTGCTTTAATGTAAGTATAAGAAAATGCCTGCTACAGAAGAAATGTTTACACAGAACTGCCTCTGGCATCTGGACACCTTAGGCCCCTTTCACATGGGCGGACTCCACTAGCGGATCCGCCTGCTCAGCGGGGGAATCTGCATAAGCGGAGCGGACATGGCCCACTGTCCTCTATGGGCAGTCAGATATAAACAAACCACCTGCCTGTTTACATTCAAATTACATCCAATGATGAACAGATCTTCATCTGTTTGTTTTTCAGTGGATCAGATGCAGGCGGTTGTAAATGGGTGCATGTCCGTTTACACCTGCCACTCGATAGAGGGCAATGGATGGTCCAAACAGGTCCACCTGAAAAATGGTCCACCCGTGAGAAAGCGCCCTTAGTTACCACAGTGTTCCCATTTCCTAAAATCTGGCTACCTTTAAAATGCTGTCCGTATACGGGGGGGGGGGGGGGGGGGGCAAACTTTGTAATATGTGTCAGCCAGAATGTCACAGACTGTACTTCCCTGATCCTAAAGAAACATTAGGAACAGATGGGGGTTTAAAAAAAAAAAGTAGTTTCTATTACAAAATGTATGTTGTATATTCATATGCGTACACTAAAACACTGAACTCTTTTTAACTTCCAGTAAGAATTTTAAGTGCAATTATCCTTTAAGAGTACAAGAATATGCAACCAAGCTGAAAAAGCATTTAAAGGAAAACTTCTGCGGACACTGATGGAAGCAATGGAAGAAGATAATAACAATATTTCTAGAATTATTTTTTATTAGAGACTTGCAGCATCACAGCTGAACATTCAATAAAGGGGTTCAAGGAGAGGGGGGGTGTGCATTTTCTTTTCACAATAAAGATTTTCTATTTTGTTGCGTTTATGGTTTTTTTTTTTAAATCATATAGCTCTGCTTCATATTCACACCGGATTTAAAAAAGACAATTACAGTTAATACATTGTAATTAATTTGTGTAAATGCAAATCTTATATATTGTTTTTCCCAGTTGAACATAAGGCTGCAATTGCATCATATCCTACCTACAAGGACTGTTAGTACTGTTGGATGTCTTTTTAAACCACATAAAATAGACTGCATATAGTCTGAACTTACCTTGGCTGTACTTGTAGCTGGCACATTCTGCAAATTATCTGGGATTTTTCCACTGCTCGCAGGCTTGGTTATTCGCTCCCGCTGCCTTTGCCGGCACTCCAGGCAGTTTCGTACAGCTACACAGCAAACTAAAAAAGGTTTAATCAAAATCGACTCGCATGTAGTTTATATCTTTAACACACTATGAGAAATAGACTTTATATAATGAAATCTGCTACAAGGAAAAAAAAAAAACACATTTACTTACCTACAATGCAGGTCAGGTGGATATGTGTTAAAGGAATATATTATCATACCAAACTACAGGCCCTTGACCCAAGACTCTGTGAGATCTGACTGTGCTGCTAAGTTTTTTTTTTTTCTTCAAAGGGTAGTAATGACAAACGAGACTAAGGAACCAATACATACAGAAACTGAAACAACTTAAATTATATTATGTTTGTCCATCTCATTACTTTGGAATGAATTTCTATTTAGCCAATTAGAAATAATTAGAATTTAGAAAAAAAAAAGGTGACCTACAAACAGGGGTTTACATTGGATATAAAAAGTCTACACCCCCCCTGTTAAAATGTCAGGTTTTTGTGATGTAAAAAAAATGAGACAAAGATAAATAATTTTAGAACCTTTTCCACCTTTAATGTAACCTATAAACTGTACAACTCAGTTGAACAACAAACTGAAATCTTTTAGGTGGATGGAAGTAAAAATAAAAAACTAAAATAATATGGTTGCATAAGTGTGCACACCCTTAAACTAATACTTTGTTGAAGCACCTTTTGATTTTATTCCAGCACTCAAGTGTTTTTGGGTATGAGTGTGTCAGCATGGCACATCTTGACTTGGCAATATTTGCCCACTCTTCTTTGCAAAAAACACTCCTAATGTGTCAGATTGCGAGGGCATCTCCTGTGCACAGCCCTCTTCAGATCACTCCACATATTTTCGATTAGATTCAGGCCTGAGTTCTGGTTGGGCCATTTCAAAAATGTAATCTTCTTCTGGTGAAGCCATTCCTTTGCTGATTTGGATGTATGCTTTGGGTCGTTGTCATGCTGAAAGATGAAGTTCTTCTTCATGTTCAGCTTTCTAGCAGAAACCTGAAGGTTTTGTGCCAATATTGACTGGTATTTGGAACTGTTCATAATACCCTCTATCTTGACCAAGGCCCCAGTTCTACCTGAAGAAATCAGCCCCAAAGCATGATGTTGCCACCACCATGCTTCACTGTGGGTATGGTATTGTTTTGGTGATGTGCAGTGTTGTTTTTGCGCCAAACATATCTTTTGGAATTATGGTCTAATGAAACCAAGGTTGAACTTTTTGGCCATAACACATTTTCCCACATGCTTTTGCAAGACTTCATATGTGTTTTTGCAAAATGTAACCGGGCTTGGATATTTTTTCTTCCTAAGAAAAGGCTTCCGTCTTACCCCATATCCCAGACATATGAAGAATACGGGAGATTGTTGTCACATGTACCACACAGCCAGTACATGCCAGATATTCCTGCGCCTCCTTTAATGTTGCTGTAGGCCTCTTGGCAGCCTCTTAGACCAGTTTTCTTCTCGTCTTTTCATCAATTTTGGAGGGACATCCAGTTCTTGGTAATATCACTGTAGCGCCATATTTTCTCCACTTGATGATCACTGTCTTCACTGTGTTCCATGGTATATCTAATGCCTTGTAAATTCTTATGTATCCTATTCCTGATTGATACTTTTTAACAAAGATGGAAGCTCTCAGTGGACCATGGCTTTTCCTGTAGGATGCGACTAAAGACATATTAGAACAGCTGAACTTTATTTGGGGTTAATCAGAGGCACTTAAAATGATGGCAAGTGTGTGCTGACTCCTATTTACCATGATTTTGAATGTGATCACTCAATTCTGAACACCCCTCCACTCCACCCCCCCCACCTCTCTTAAAAGATTTCAGTTTGTATTTCAATTGTTGTACAGTTTATAGGTCACATTAACGATAGAAAAAGTTCTGAAATTATTTATCTTTGTCTCATTTTTTTTACATCACAGAAACCTGACATTTTAACAGGGGTGTGTGGACTTTTTATATCCACTGTAAGTATTTGGTACCTCAGCTGCCTCTGTTTTCTTAAAATATAGTCATCCATTAGAACTTTGCTAGAAATGTTTAGTCTATTTTAAATAAGATAACACAAAGACAGTGATAGTGGGCAAAGTGATATGACTCACAATAACCAGATACTACCTGTCAAAAGTTGAAAAAGGTATAGTTACTGAAAACATGCTACTCCAGTGTTCTGTCATAGTTGGTCCCAAAAGCTCTTGCTGATGAGGCTGACATATGGTTCTCTCCTTCAGTAGACTTCACATGACCAAGCCCAAAGTGGTTAACCTTTCTTTATGTTGACACTTGGGTATAGGTACTTGCCCCTTCAGAATATATGCAATTACTTTATAAGGCCCCATGTACACATGTGTTAAAAACGTAGTTGTTAGAGGCGTTTAGAGGTAGAAGTGTTTAGAGGCAGAAAAAACCATCACTTGCATGTTCCAGAGAGGAGCATTTTGGTGGAAAAACTGCTAGACATGTTTAGCGTCTGAGAGTTTATTTCAATGGCCAGAATATTATTTAGTATTTTTATAAGTATTATTCTGGCAAATGGAATGAATGCCAAAATCCTTGACGTGCCTAAATGCATTTGGAAAACGTGTCTTTAGGAACATTTTGTTTACGCTGCTTTTTCTTCCTCTGGAGCAAAGGTGTCTAGTGGAGGAAAAAAACGTCCTGTGTATATGAGGCCTTAAAAGAGGAAGAGAAGCTCTCTCTGGAGCTGTTCTAAGTATTTATTTTACCGTAAGGGCTGCAGCAACTGCAACAAAGGGTCTGGTGATTAAAGTGGAGAAGCTTTGTGGGTATTTTGGCCTTTAATCCAAATAAAACCAAACTGAGGCCTTGTTTTTTCTAACTAAAGAATAAAGTTGAATCACTGAACAGTGGATACATTTTTTTTATTAAAACCTTTCCAGAACATTCTTGGCTCTATTTCTGAGTAACATTGTACCCCCCTCCCCCCAAACTTCTGACAGGAACAAAAAATAATCCAGCAAAAGGGGCTTATTAGATCACTTTGGCCT